TTCCGTTCACTTTCTTTCTTTTTTCCCAAAATTACCAAAAAAGGAAATTTTTTAAAAAAAAAAGAATCAGTGATAGAAATATTATTCTAATATATTAATATTTTCAATATCATATAAATAAAACAAGAAAAATTTGACAAATATTTTATAAATTGAATATTAAAGAAAAGTATTAAGATCAAATCTGAAAAATGATTTTAATATTTTATAATCAAGAAACTGTATGATAAAATTAATGCAAAAACAATTTTATTGAATCAATTTGATTACAGTATTTTTAAATTGGAGATGATATATTATTTTAAAAGTTTGATTGATATATGCATAAGATTTATTAATTATCATTCTGATTTTCAATTGAATAATATGATAGATATGAATAATGATAAATTCCTAAAGTATTTAGCATATAAAATTTTACAAATCACTTTTGTTCTTTTTTGAGAGATAAAATTTATAGCTCTTCATTTTAATAGGAACAAAAGTTAGAAAATACAATAAATCAATGATTTGGATAATAGAAAACAATTGTGAATAGTTTTTTTATAGTTATTAATTTAAAAATTTAATGTTTTGTAATAAGAAACATTTGACTTTTGTCCTACTTTTTCTTTTAAAAACCTATCTTTAGATATGAATAACAATAAGATATTTGAAAAGATGATTGAAAAAACTTAAAATATTATGGAAAAATACTTTGATAAATTTAAAAAAATATTAAATAATAATATATAATATGATATTTATACATTTAGTAAGACCTATAGATCTATAGTATAGTGATAGTACTCTCAAGTCACAATTACAAGGTCTAAAATTCAATTCTATATGGAGGTCAAGTAAAAATACTATATCACAATAAATTCAGTACTCTATTGGGTAACATTAAATGTCATTGGGTATAGACCTGGTTATCTTATTGATAGCTGAAATGAAAGAATCTATTGTTACACGGTATCACTTGTAGCTGATATTTGTCAGATTAGGCCAGTCTATAGGTGTTGTGAAACAATCAGTATCTTATCAGACCCTGATAAGGTGGAGGAGAATGGGACTGATCTTATAGTCAATTAGAATGAAAACTGAATTGATGTCAGGTACCTTGATGATCTTATCAACTGCAAGAAGTTGCCATAAGTTAGGAAGGTTGAAGTTCTAAAGAGAGTAAACATTGTACTGGTGGAATGCCTAAAAGCATGGCCAGTTGTTGTGGCTTATCATCAGAAGGCCTTGATAGGAGGAGGAATCCACAGACCATATTGAAGTTCCAAATTTAAAGACAGGTTAGAGCAAACGCAATGGTCTGATAATTAGATTACTTTATAAAAGTGTTTTGAGAAAAATTAAGAAAGTATTATGTGGTTTTCCTTAATGGACTAATTGGTATATATAGTATATAATATATTTACCATATATAAAAATTATAATATGTACAACATTATTTTTAAGTAAATAAAAACCACAGGTACCCATGAGCTCCAATAGCTTATATAATAGAAGAAAAACATCTTCAACACTTGCCCACACATCTTTAAAAGCAAGATCAATTTCTTACAATACTGTCTTCTGCATATTTAGAGATGCAACATAAACATCTCCAGACCTACCATGAAAAACAACAACCTCCAGAACCTACATCCTATTGAAGACTTCATTGAACAAGATTGATACTCTAAATACAGAGCAGCCCTCAGAACCCACCAGCTCTTTTGGATCGAATAACTAACTAGCTCTTATATGACTAAGCCACTAAAGTGATAACAGGTCAGGGCATTACATAATAAAATAATCAAGAAAAAAAAACCAGCATAGTTCATACATCTTTAACAATAGATAATATAATACCTTTAAAGTATTCCTACTTCCCATTTCTCAATTCACTTATTCAAATCAAACTAATCAATTCAGGACAAACACAACACTTCTGATACATTATGCAGTTCAAACACCAACAAGTCCTAGGTAAACATATTAATGAAAAACCTGACACTATCAAAATTAGGCACTACACTATGACAAACAACTCTTCAGTAAATGCCTGCATCAGTTGTGACATCTTCAACATTACTAACAACAGAGATAAAATATTTGCATAGAAGCACCAAAAGCTAGTGCCTTCAAGGTTCCTGTAATAAATACTACAAAATTGTATAGTTCACTTGACCTTACCTTAAAGAAAAGAATACAAACATCACCTAATAGTATTAGATGTTTCTTTATGAAGCCCAACCTAGTTCTTAATGGACTAGAAATTGATAGCACTCCACACATATTACAAGACTTCTTCCATACTATTAACTTCAACCTTTCAACCAAACAAGAACTCATCAAAATATATTGCAAAGTCAAGGATATCTTCAGTCTCCACATCTATACAGATGGAGCATACAATCTGAAAAACAACTTCAACATATATGGAATAGGCACTAATATCAGTGACAATTATGCAAGCATAATCACAATAGGATATAACTAGAAGGACAACTATTAGCACTCAGAGCAGAGATCCTGGTTGCAACAATAACAATAGCTATAAGTAAATCAAAAAGATCTCTTACAATCGAAACTGATTCACTTTCTCTAATAGAAGAGTACAGTATATACAGTATATTGAACCCAATACTAAAAAAATTAAAGAATTAAGGCTCATAAGCAATCTCAGTATCGTAGCAGTGCACTATCAAACTCTTATCACCTGGCTCAAAATGGATAAATAAAATTATATCACCACTCATCCCTTTCTCAAAGCTGACAGACTGGTGAAGCATCACAACAACAATAATGCAACCAGTCCCCAAGAACAGCTAATTAATATTACTCTCAGTGATAGTATCCTCACTTTCTGCTATAAAAACCAAACAGAAATTACTACAACTATCCAAAAGGCCCTCAAGCAAATAAAATAAACACAGTTAATATATTAATAGATCACACTAAACAAAAATAAAGATCTAATTAAACAATAGGCAAAAGATATAAATTAACAGGAAACAACCTAGAGACTCCATTCGTCAGCCATTAATCACAACATAAAAGATTTATAGGACTATTCACAAAGGTGTTTTATATTTGAACTATAGAACAAAGAGCTTTCCACAATGGATAAGCTCCACATCAGAAGTCTTAACATTTACAAATTAGATATATGCTTTGCATATCCATACACAGAAGATAACACTCACCTATTTAGATGCCTATTTCATAGCATTGCCATCGAACAAGTTACATTGAATACCATGCACCAAGAAATAATAGCAAGAATTGATAACAATCACATTTGCAACATTAAATAGGAACTCACATCAGATATAATAGTAAACAACATGTGAAATAAGATTATTATAAAAGGCATTAGCAAAATTGTCCTAAAGATTATCAACAAATATATTAAAATCAACAAAATAGCAGAGACTGTTAACAGTATTCGCAACACTATTAGATACTGGACCTACAATATTTGAATCAATAGGTATGAGTGTCTATATCACTGGAAAAAACTTCAAGGAATATCAATTAGGAAAAATAGAAAGAATTACAAACAACCTCCTAATAAAACAAAACTCGGAGACTTTTCACCCAACAAAATGGATACATATTCTACAGAACTCATATCTAATATCCTTTGCGGAACTCACAACATCTTCGAAATCTATAAGAAACATGCTAACAGCACCTAGACATGTTAGTTTCCAACAGGAACAATATGTCACAAGGGTTCAAAGGCAGAGTCCTGCCACTGATAGCAATAGATACTTATCAGTTCAGATAACAATTGATTTTATTATAATCATGTACATTAGACACATAGGAAAAATGCCTGTAATATAATCTTTACTTGATAAAGTAACATATAATTATATATAAATTCAATAAAATGAATAATGTTACATATTTTTTTTAAAAAAAAACTAAGTATGTTTAGTAAATTTAATATTTTGAAAATTAGCAAAAATTGATATATGATTGAAAAATAAGAAGTAAAAATACTATATGAATTTGATGATATACATATTTAGAAAAAATTAATAGATTTTTTTTTAACATAATTATATAATTCTATTGAACAAAATATATAAATGTCATGATTTATCTTTAAAAAATAAATTATTCAAAATGATTCCTATTACAACTTGGATAAAAGAATGAAAAACTTAATTTGAACTCAAGAATTAAATTTATATTGTTTGTGAGAAAAATGAAGTTTATCTTGGAATCAAATTAACACAAAATCAAACAATAATTTGTGATATTAAAAATTATTAATTTCTTAAATAATTTATATGATGTGCATTAAAAAAAGAGAATATATTTTATGTATTTAGAAATCATAAAAAATCTTATTGTTTTTATAATTTAATTAAATCTGAGTATAAAATTGTTGAATATATTAATAGGAATGGATTGGATAATTGAGAATGAATGCAATTTACAAGATGGATTGAATAAATTAAATCAAAGAAATTGTAAATTAATCTAAAAAAATAATTCCAAGTATAATGGTATATTTTATTGTAAAGATATTATTTGATTTATTTTTTACATAAAAACATTTATTTCTCTTGATCCTTTATACTACATGCGAAAGAAACAAAATATGCTAACCACTTACACAAATATTGCTATATTCATTCATTACCTAATCGAATGACCATTGTATAACTGGAGGCCCCGTAAATTGTACGTACGTTATTCAAAGTGCAACATATACAGTCACCTTAAAAAGTGTCGCCCGATTTATTATGATTTACACGGCCAACACCTTTATGAGGTCGGACCTTTATTCACGTGGGATGATTTTGTAGAATGTTCTAGTCTTTCCGAATCCGCTCAACGAAAATCTCTCGACAATACCAGAATTTCGTCAAAAAAATTGTATAAATAATACCCTTTATCGCCGTTTTTCAAGATCAAATCGAAGATTACATCTCAAGAAAAAAAAAAACCAAAAAATCAAGATAATAAAGTACTCTGTTTATCAAAACTCCCTTTAACATTCGAAAATGCCTAACACCAGTCAGGGCTGGGATAGAGACTTTAGTCGATTTGAATCAACGGTTTCCAATTTATTTGACGACTTCTTCAAAGATCTCAATGTGGCCAGACGCACAGGCGGTTTAAATACCAGAGGCAATAATGCATCGTGGGTACCTCATATTGATGTGCATGAAACCGAAAAGGACTTCGTGGTAAATGCTGAACTACCTGTAAGTACTTAAGGAAGCTAACATTGCAAAATTTCTTTATACTCAATAATATTCTACTAAACATATCGCTGCTCCTTAAATCAGGGTGTTGGCAAAGAACAAGTCAATGTCGATGTTCGCGAAAATGTTCTTATGATTTCGGGTGAATCTGCTCAAGATCCGAAATTTAAAGATTGCAAGACTCATATCCAAGAGCGTCGCTACGGTCAATTCTCTCGTGCTATCTCTCTTCCGCCATACTCCAGGTCCGACGAAATCACGGCTAAATTTGAACATGGCATTCTCGAGGTGACAATTCCGAAGGGCGAAGCTCCCGGTAACAGGAAGGTTACTGTTCAGTAGATTATCACATGATTCTTGTTATGATAGACATGAAATGATTTGTTATGCATATACAATATACATGATGTAAATTCTCGAAATATAATACTGTAATAATAAAAAATTTTTTTGCAATCTTTTAACCTACACGTAGTGCACATCCAGCTAAATCAAAGTGCGAAATACTAACGTGAGAAATGTTGAATTTGTTAATTCGCAGCAACAATTGATCCTTGATAGATTACATATACTGTAGTTCATTTAAGTAACAGACGTACCGTATGCTTAATTTCTCTAAAAAATGTTTCGTATTGCATGTGATCGAGAATGTTCTTTATAATATTATTATTTTAACTAACTGATACTGTATACCGCAAATACGTACAGTATCTCATATCCAATAGGTGCTTATGTAAAATGTCAATGCATTCCCCATATTTTTGTATCACAGATGCGGATATTTTCAATTTTTTTTTTCGTTGTCTGGCTCTCTGCACGATAAGAAACGAGGCATATGGTGTTAAATGTGCATGGACACGCTACCCTTCGCGTGGGTCATCTAATTATAGAAAATAAAGAACATTGGTGCGTTACGCCTTCGCGTGGGTCATCAAATCATAGATTTACGACGCACAGAACAGTATAGGCCATCTGCCAATGCGCTGCACCTTCATGCCACCCACGACTCTCACGTGATTTAAGTATGAATCGATTTAGTTACAGTATATACGTATAAAACAATATACTTTATATTATCTCAAATTTCTATGTGATAATGTATTATATTTTTATGCACAAAAACCTATCATATCATTAAACTATTGTGATTTTTTAGTTCAACGTTTCGATTTTAATGTCAAGTGAGAATATAGAAATCAGCTCAATCAATTTAAAAGCCACTGATAAAACGTTAATTAAAAATTTATTTAAGGTGTATTAACTCTAGGAGTTTTTTTTTTTTTTTTTTACATGTATTTTTTTTTTTTTTTTTTTTACAATTAAATTAGCAATCTATCTATATACTGTATTTATATAACTATTTTTTTTTTAAAAAAATTTTTTTTTACATAACATTATGTGAGTGGTGAGGGTCATTTTTAAGTTTGCGAAGACGTCATTCGAGTAGCTCAATGCGCCACTAAAGGTAAATGCATAACAACCAAGAATACAGTTAATTAATTGGCAAATCGAAACATAGAAATTGGTTTGAAAATTATACATACTTTACTATTTTCATCTTTTCCATATCCGTAACAGTAAACTTCTTGAGTTCCGTCATTCAAAAGGGAATCGCGGCTGCAGAGTGCGGTCTTATGGGACTCATTATGTATAATGCTGATGACATCGCCGTCCGTCAAGTAATTGGAGCCATTATCGGGGCCATGTCGTCGAACAACCCAATCATCGTCGGAATTGCTACCCAAATAGACGGTCACTAAGGTAACGAATTCATCACCGTTATAAAGTTTGACACGAAAACACATATATGATATTGATTTTAGAAAAAAGGAAAATACCTCGTTGCTTTGATTTTGCTAGGGCATTTTTCGCCGACGCACCGTGGTGATTTGATTTCGGTGCGGTATTTTTCAAGGAAGTGCTGTGTAGATTCCCCTCTGTTGCCTGATGCCTGAACCTGATTAGGGTATTGAATTGTACAGGATACCCCGCATTCATCCCTTTATTGTTAGCTTCAGTGACAATCCAAACGTCGGTGTCTGGATTCATTTCCTGTCCACGACCAATGACCTTTGCGAATTCAAAGATAAATTTATTTTAAGAATCAAGTCACTAGCGCAAGCAATAATAACAAAAATGATAAATACCGGGCATCGCTGATGGCTAAGTTTCTTTATATTGGCGGATAAATATCTCCCGGTGGACACATGAACAAAGGCGATCTTTGACCCACATCTGATTTGTTTTTTTGCATGTTCGACGCTCTATCGGAAAATCACCATCATAACATCAATAATCAATGACAACCGAAAATAAAAAAGTAGCCAAGTATGTCTTTCAAAAGTAAATCCATACCTGATCACATTGTTTAACTTTGCTAACCTGGTTGCTATGGTTATCCTGGTTATCATGTTTGTCTTGGTTATCATCATTATCCTGGTTACTATGATCGTCCTGGTTACTAGGATCACCCTGGTTACTATGATCATCCTGGTTACCATGACCATCCTGATTACCATGACCATCCTGGTTATGCTCTTGGTCAGCTTCTACTTTATCATGTTGAGGAGTTTTTGCAACACTAAAGGATGGATTTCATCGGTCAAGTGGTTAATGCATAATATAACAAAAATAATTTACCAAATTTCTCTTCTTTTTCATTCTAACCTCGACTGCAACAGATCAAATCTTTGGTTTATGATGGCCTCGAGGGAATTGATTTTATCGAGTAGCATTGAAATCGATTTATCATCACCGACTGACGTGTTGTCGCTGTCGTCACTGATTGACTTGTCGTCGCTATCGGATTTATCGTCGATTTCCTAATAAAGATGACCGCCCTGTTAACAAATGACCTAATCTAAAAACAAACGGAAAAAGAGTAGATGCATTATGTGCCTACCTGTGTTGGGCGTTTAAAGATTTCAGGCTTTTTAAGTTCGCGGATGTTCTTATATATTAGGTCGTTGAAGTTTGCAATCTTATCATTTGTCAAAGAATTATTCGATTTCCTGAATGGGTTAACAATTATTTGTTAATATGTGCATCATAGATTCAGCGATGTGCGCGTGAAAATGTGAGAATGAGGGAAGGTTTACGGACTTGATTAATATACTTTTAAACTCGCCGATCGTATATCTGGTGTCCTGGATAATATGGTCGCGTGTCTCCCAGACACTTTTAGGCATCGTTTGCAAAACATTGTTCAAGTGTTCCTCAAATTTTTCTGCCTCATTCAAGAATTCTTGGATCTTCTCGTGTTTATCGTATTCTTGGTAGTTAATTATCTCATTCGTGAAAGTTTGAATTTCATGTTGAATGTAATAAACCGTTGATTGTATGGCCACCGGATTGCTATCGGAAATTTGACGCGGCGGTTGGAATTCATACTTTTCTTGTCCTCTCAGGTGTTTCAAGACCGTGACTCGTTCCCCCTCTACCTTGCCCTTAAAGATTACCGTTCCTACGCCTTGATCATCGAATTGTTCCGCCAATAGGTCCTGCTCCCCAACTTTAACATAAAGAGTTCGATCCCTTGATTCCAATAGTGGTAGTATTACGCTTAATATATTTTGAATCTCACTCGACTCTTTGATATATAAAAAGTTTCCCCCTTTACTTCCACACGTTGTTAACCACGAAAGAAGTGCTACGGACCAAAATGACATCATTAGTTGATCACGTAAAAAAAAAGAAAAGGAAAGGAAAGAAGAAAGGAAAGGAATACGGGGGAGATAATGTCATGTCGTACATACAAGCGTCATGTTCATCCGTAAACCCAATAGTATGGACCTCAGTTGTGTGTGGAAACTTTAACAAGGCATCTTCCAGATTCTTTTTGGTTTGTTCACTCACATCATAAGTAGAAATACCATCGGTGAAGAAGATGATGGCCAGGTCGTTGTCCACTCTATCAAGGTTTTTTATGATCGAGTCAAAAACTTTATTGAAGTTTGTACCTAAAAAAGGTGGATTTTTTTAATGTAAGCAAGCTGCTTAAAAAATAATTCTATGCATGTAGTATAAATACCTCCTCCAGTTCTCACGCCATCAAAGTAATTTTTTATTTCACCATTATCCCAAAGCATGTTAGGGTCATCGCCAAATCTTACTTCTTTGCAATTTGTTTCAAAGAAAAGGCATGTGATGTCCTTCTCAACAAGAATGCCTTTTCGCAGTAATCCTTCCATGACCTTCAATATGGCTTCTTTGGCTTGTTCTAGCGACCCGGACATGGAGCCTACGAAATCAATCGGAATGCTTTAATCAATAACTACTGTACATATTGCCCAGCGGTTGGTCATGGACAATGCATGTTCGATAACCGTGAAATTACCTGAAGTATCCAGGCAGATGAAAAGTGAAAGGGCTTGATGTTCACCCTTAAACCAGTTGTTAATCGTCTCGGGTATTTTGAAGTGTAAGACACTCGTCTCGTGGGTGACCTTGAAGTATTCAATGTTGGTCGTGATCAGGTCTTCATATACCGATTCTTGAAAGAGCCTTTGGTATGGCTGCATGTTACTATTGATCTGCTCGGAAGACAGTTGATGGAATCGAATTAACGGAAGAAGATTCTCGAGAGTCTTGGTCAACGCTTTAATTTCCTCGGAGGACCACAATTTAGGATCGGCGTTTATCGAGGGGTGTCTGGCCAAACCCCATTTGAGGACTCGGTTCCAAATTTCAATCACGTCAATTTCGGGGTCATAATTTCCAAGCAAATCCATTAAAACTCGCTTTTCGATTTTATTAAACTCTTCGGACAGGAACAGTGTGCTCGGAGCCTTCACGCAGTAATTCAGAAGAACCACCAACTCCCGATACTGCTGACACGTGTCGTAGACCAACGAGAAGTTCTTGCATAACCATTCGTGATGAGATTTGATCAGTTCCGATTCTAAATGATTGACGGCTCCCTCGAGGTCAAGTTTTATGGCTGCAAGTAAAAGATTGAATTTCTCCATAGGCGATTTGTTATCCGAGGAAATATGACCATTGTAAATATACCTATCGTGACGTCAAAAGGTGATTAGAAGACAATGTCTCAATCACGTTGCACAAAAACTACAACGCACCTGAGCAAAACTTCAAAATCCTCTGGCAAAATGTCCGGTATTTCGATCTCGTTATTGTCAATCTTATTCCCATCACTCGTTAAGACCTTTCGAAAGAAGGAGGAGCGCGCATAGAGGATGAAAGAGTGACCATGGAATGTCTGGGTGCATGATTGCGAACCGACCCCGATCGTCACATCGTAGAATTTTTTTAATTCAAAGAAATTGTCGAAATCTTGACAAAATTTTATGACGGATGCGATTTCCCTAAATATTTTTAAACCGGGTGTACGTCATTTTCTAATTCCTTGGGAATGCGTAAAACAGGAAAAAGTCATGTAGCCGAACCTTTTTTTTAATTCGTCACTCAATTCGCCAAATGTTTGACTTGACATTTTTTTTTTTGTCTATGAGAAAAATTAGAAGGTGTCTGTATGATGATGACTCCGTTAAATAGGATATTATGATGCCCAATACTCTAATTTGTTTCCTTGGGTCCATACAAAGTGATCCTTGTCGGGGTATATATGCAAAATTCATTGGCGAGGTTTAAACTACACAATCTCATTGACACGTTTCACCACCGATTCAGGGGAATAAGAATCTTTCCCTTTCAGTCTTTTGTAAATAATATTTGGGCTCTGAGCTTAACGATCAAATGGGATGAATCAGTGTTTTAATTATCCCAATAAGGTGCAGGTATCCACGGCAATTTATTTTCGGATTTCTCATTCGCCAAGGGCCTGTAACGGCTTTCCATGTCGGGACAATTTGTGAGATTGATTTCGTGTGAAACGAGCTCGTCAAATTAGAATTCCTGAACATCATAGACGTCAATTTAAGCAGCACCAATCAATTGCAATACGTTACCGTCATACAGGTTCTGAACACACGACTTCTGGTGAAATGCGGGTGACCAAATTCAACAAGGTATTCCTAGATAAGGCCCTTTTTAACCCCATATATGCGGAACAACAATAACGACAAAAGTCTGGTCGAGCTTTAATCGTCAATAAGTTGCATCCGGTAGGAATATGATTTTAAAACAGACGAATATGGTCATACGAAAAAGGGGAATAAGATTGATACCCACGTACAAGGATGTCCGATTTACATTGGGCACCTTGTAAAGATTGTTTATTCTAAAAATAGCTGCTCTTAAATTGTTTCACGTCAACACATTTTTGCTTTAATACACAATGACGATTATGGTTTGAATGGACTTTTAATTTTTTATTTTCCGAAATTGGCATAGAGAGGATACAATGTATTGTACATACATACTGTACGTACTGTATGTACAGTATATACTGTATACTACAGTAATGTGCTGCTGTACACATAAAGTACCTTGCCTACAAATAAAGCATTGGAGAATTAAGGTTTTATGGTTATACTCGCAGCCTGCTTGCATTAAAAGTGACTTGTGATGGATGATAAGCTTTATCAAGCATATCTCGTTGTTTAAACTCGCACGCGCATACATGGCCATCCGGAAAAGTGATTCCAAGGATATACGTACATACTGTATGTACAGTATATTTTTCTAATAGACTAGACAGTACATGAACGAAACTCCGCTTAAAAATAAGGATTTTCTTTTCTTTTATATGCGCAGTATATAGATGTACATGATTAGGGATATTACAAGAGTTTTGTGACACGGAATATGCAAACCAATTTAAAATTCAAATTTATTTTAGTATATTTCAAGAATTTTTATATCATCTGGTTAGATAATTGGATGAGTGAAATTCAAACTGCAAATTTGGTGCTTGGCGATAAATCTAATTTGACAAATTTGATTTAAAGAAATATACTGCATATATAACTGACTCGCTTATGATTAAATATTATATGAGTGATTATTTTCGAAGGCGGGCATTAATTTTTCGAATCCTATAATTGATGATCCTAAGATTTGCGTATTATTCAAAAATAGGGACCGAAAAAATCATATTCAATATTTGGTCGCCTTCAAAGACAATTATTCAATATACTAAAAAAAAAAAAAGAAAAAGGAAAAAGGATAAGGGAACCCCGTTTAAATCTCATTTTTTCGACAATAATTTGAGCTGCGTCGCGGTTAGAATTCTTCTCGTAAACTTGAACGCTTCGGATGATGATCGATTTTCATATTCATTTATAATTTCATCAAGATATCGCTACAAATTGCGATTCATTAATAAACTTTATCATAAAAAATCGACAATAAGGCTCTGCTTACCTTCATTGTTGTAAAATGGGAAAATGTTAACACGATCAACGGAAAAGACTTTTTGTCAATTGCTAATCCGTTTTGGTAACATGGCCATGATCTGTATACCCCGTCGTATGTCAAATCGATGACAAACGATTCCAAGTTATTTCCTATATCGAATGAATTTTATAAATAAAGTATTGTGGAAATGAATATAATGAAAATATAAAATCATAATGCATATATACCCATGTTTAAGAGAGCTATTGATTTGTTTGGTCCTCCCTTTTCTAGCAAACTATTGATTGATTTTTTCCCTTTGAGGTGCACTCTTACGAAATCTTGATCCTCCATCAACTGAGTATAATCTAAGGGCTTAATCTCGGAATTTAATATCGGAATGCCATCAACTACACAGTTAAAATCCGCCTCCTGATTTCCGTCTTCGCCTATATCTAATTCCAAATCATAAGATGTGCATTCTCCGACAAGAAGTTTTATAAACGGAGCTAAGTAATGAATACAGTGCTTATCCTTGATTTCTTCTCGTTTTGATAGTAAAATCTCGTCTTTACTATATACATATATATATATAAAGATTATAAATATTTTAACAAATCATTGACTTTTCGGTCATGTCTGGCAATAAAACGGCTTACATGTCATTAAATATATCGATAGCCTTTTCATCTAATCCATCATCGCAATTTAGTATAAAGTTACAGCTTAGACCAAGTGAAACGTCATTCGTTGCTTTATATAAAGTTGTTAAGAGTGAATTCGTTAAAACAGGTTCCGTAATCTTATATGGATTCGAATCAAGAACTTGTTGCCATTCAGAGTTTGTAAACGTAGAGTAGGGGCAATGCCAATGCATTACAATTATTGATGATAATGCTCTAAAATGCAATGGGAAAGTAATTTAGTACGCATTTATAATACTCGATAGAAATCTTTAAAGAGCTTACAATAATTCATAAGTATCGTTCCACGTCAATTTTCTTTTTTCCTGCCTAATACTTGATATTAATTGTTTTTGGTACTCTTTAAATTTTCTTGAAACGTTAACTGCGCCCACATTCCACTAAAACATAAAAAACATAATTTATATATAATACACGGAAATTAAAAGTTCAATTGCTACTACATACCTCGTCGGATGAACTAGACATAATTTGCTCTTCTAATTCATCTAATTCGCCATCTTCAAATTTTATTATTTCATCCTAATCAAAATTGTAAATTAAGATTATTTCGATATACCCGTCCTAATTACTGCTACATACCTCGTTAGATGAACTAAAAAATTCATCTAGTTCACCATCTTCAAATCCCATTACTTCGTCAGGGTCATCATTATTAAAAACATCGTTTTCCTAATCAAATCGCCAATTTGCAATTATTAACATTATTTCGATGTGCACATACATGATGAAGATACTTACACTTGATTCATTCACTTAATCGGAATAATTAACGTTTGTCATATTTCGCTAGATCACAATAGTATGAATGACAATTAACGGAAACATAACAACGGCAGAACTAAATAAACTCACATTTTTTGTATTAGCCCCTTCATCTTCTACATCTCGAAAACGTTTTCTTGGAGCTTTACGATTATCATTGTATATCAACCCAGCCGAAGTTGCAAGCTGGTTTACCCGCTTCACCCGCAGACTTCGAATACTGGCACATGTTTGTTTAATATTCTTCACCGGCGCGGTCCATTTCTGAGCAAAATAAAATACGTTAAATCTTATGCGATAACAAAAATAACAAATAAAAATTTAAAACACAACAGTATAAGACAAATGAACAAAAGGTTGTCCTTAATGTGTATACCTTCCAGTTGTCAAGGATTTCTCGAGCCTTTCTCCTTTTTTCCGGACTGAAAGAAACAGAATCTTCCACCAGTATAAGATCTTTTTTAATGGAGTCGAATATCCTCTTTCTATCCTTCTGCTTCTTCTTCAAACGATAATATTTCAATAAAGCCACGCACGTCCAATTCTCGATTGCATTTTCTTGGTAAAAATCCATAACGCGTCCAGAATTTGATAAATGTGCAGATGTACGCGCAATTATAATAGGTAAAGCCTTTACATGATTGGTTAATTTATTTCATCAGGGCAGAAAATATAGTGGGTCCGTTCGGTTCGGTCCAAGGGCCCAGAATTATTATAGGGTTGCCCCAATTTTTATAATCCTGGCCGGAATTACACACAATGCTGGCTAACTTATTAAATGCTGACCAATTTGGTATAAATGATATTATCTTTATTTCATGTCAACTTAACTACAATTCTATCATCAATTCCATAGAATATCAATTAGATTCAATCAAGCAGGTGGCCATATTGTCCTTATAATGAATACAACTATTTTTTTTTTAAATTTGCAATCATATCAATTTGATATATCTTTATTGAGATATTAAAAGATATTAAAGTATTTTATAGACTTTTACAAAGCAACTAACTCATTATTGTATATCATTAGTTGAAGATATTACTTAAAAAAATATGAGAAGTTCACTAAGCTAGTTCAGACTAAACAAAACCAAGTCTAAACTAGATACTCTAAGTTATATTTAGAAAATAATATTACACTCTATTAGTGGCTTGACATAGTGCCTTTAAGTCAATCAGAATTATTGTCAACAGTTTATCACTGGATTATCTTCAAAAATAATAAATTGTTAAAGTATAGTACTAGAAAAAGGAAAAAAAAAATAAAATTCAAAGCTTTTTAAAAGATTCTTGTTTTATTTTACAATTTTCTCTCAAAAAGTATTTGTTAAATTGAAATATCTTCTAAACTTCATTATATTTAAGAAATTTAACTATTCCTGAAAGTAATTTCAAAAAAAATATTTGAAAAACTTATTCTTCTATTAATATATGAATTTGCTTAATGCTACTGGAATCAGTACTATATTATAGAAGAGTTTGCCTAACTGGGATAAAGAAATCTTTTTAAGAACTTTATTTGACTAGGATAAAAGCTTGAAGACTTTCACTTTTATCCAAGAAAATCTTTTACTACTTGAGAAATTTAATAAGAAATTAGAATTGAAATATTTATATATCTATCACTCAGCTTTCAGTATTATAATTATTCACTAAAGATCAAATATATACAATTAAAGAAAACATTTTTTCTATAATTTTCTTTTCTATATTATTAATAATATAATAAGGCATATGAGTGTAATTAATAAGAGCTTGTTTATATTTCAAAAACTGACATATTTAATGTCAACCAATCACATTTGATGCAGATTTGTATTATTCAAAATTTAAAGTCAAACTGAGGTAAGTAAAATTTTTTAGAAAACTATAAAAATGAAAGCTTTAAGGAAGCCAAACCAGTTCAAAAGGGTAAAAATAAACCTTATGTCTGCAACAAATCTCTATAAACCTCTCACTTAAAAGATTAGAAAAGCTTTCAAGTACTTTACAACCAGTTCTTCTTTCTTTGAGAACTTTTTTGTCATTAGTATCAAAGGTGTTACTCAACTTTTCTTGATTACTAAGAGTCAAGTTTTTAAGTGAAAAGATTTGTAAACAATAAGGAAAGAGTAGTAGAAACGCTTAAAGTAATACTTCAGATTGGTTTAAAGAAAGTATTAAAACTTTATTAGTAAAGAAGTGTAAAAACTTCTTGCAAACACTTTTTTGTGTATGGTCAAAGAATTAGTAAAAGAAGTTTTTTTATATTATTTATAAAGAATACAACTATTGTTATAGTTAAACAAGTTTAAAAGTATAAGAATAAAAAAAATATTTATATTGGTTCTAATAAAAGATTTAAAAAAAATTTTTTTTAAACATTGGCTCATTCTTTATGCTTCAGATCACTTTATTAAAAGAAAATCATATTTAAGAACAATCAGGATAAATACTTTCTATACTATCTAAGAATTTAAAGATCACTAGAGAGAAAATAGTATAAAAAGCTAATTACCTAGTGTAAATAATCTCTTCTAAAAACAAAGAGAAATTTAATTAATGCTATATTACTGATTTCTTCCTGCTATTAAGTTTGATATTATTTAGGATTTTCATCCACTAATTAGCTTATTGCCATCTGTTAGAACAGACCTAACCTACTAGGACTTGCCTAAGATACTCAATATTTATTTGATACTAAATGTCAATTGTATTAGTTAAGAATCAATCAGTATAAAAATAGAGAGATAAAAAAAATGAAAAGAAAAAATGAAAGGAAAAAGTTGAAAATATTTATAAGAAGAGAGAATAATACTAGTCAAAATTATGTCATTTGGTTACCTAATTATTGCTAAATTTGACAAAAATTAATAATAAAAAGATTGATGAATTATTTACGATTGCTATTACTTAGTATTAAAAATATTAGCAAAAAATCAGCAAAAAAATATTGACATACTGTAAAAAAAAAATTCGATATAAAATCTAGTAATGAAGTGACAAAAAAAAATTTTGCATATTGTGATAAAAAAAAATTTTTGCAAAATGTAATAAAAAATTCAGCAAAAAATTGATCTATAGCAAAAAATTTGATAAATAAATTGAAACTGTGGCAAAAAATTCAGCAAAAAAATTGATACTGTGACAAAAATTTGACAAAAAAAATTAATGTAGCGAAAAATTCAACAAAAAAATTTCAGTAAAAAAAAATTTGGCAAAAATTGATATTGCAGCAAAAAATTTGGCTATAACAAAAAATTCAAATTTCATAAAATTTATTAAAAAATTATAAAATCAATTGACTAAATTATTCATTATTTTTCTCTTTCTCCTTTTTCTTTTCTTTTTTCTTTTTCATTTGTTTTTTTTTTTTCCTTTAAAGATCTTGGCTTGACTTTTTTAAAACTAGTCCCAATTGATTTTATCTTGTCAAATGTTTTCTAAGATTTTTTGCTTTTTTCTTCTAACCCAATTGCCCTAAATTTCACCTATTCATGCACTTTCTCCAATTTGTTTCTCATCCTCTAAATATATTAATAATTTCTTATATTCAGTAATTTTTTGTCTTTTGGATTTAACTATCAATTTTTATCTTTTCCTATTTCTCTTTTTTATTCATATTCTGAAATTTCTTTCAAACTATATACCAAATTGGACAAGCCTTCTAGTAGTGTTATGTTATAGAAATATGAATCATTATAATATTATTTATGAGTTAGCTGGAATACTTGAATTTATTTTGAATGTTCATTCAAATATTTCACCAAATTCTTTAACTATAAGTAATTATAATTAATATTGTAATTATTCTGCATAAAATATTTTATTGAAAAATATCACTTAAGAATACTAACTGTAATTATATACATTTATTTTTCTTTTGGTGGAGTTTTTTAGATTAGTCTCACTTTCTTAATATGAATATACTTTTGTTTCTTTAATTATATCAATTAATTTATTCCGATATTTGACAACTTTTTTTGACCTTCATTCAATAAGCAACTGTATGCTTTTAATTCTTCATATCCTTTTATTAATTATTCATTAAAAATTAATACTTAAAAGTAGTATAAATACAGAATATTATCAATCTTACTTCATTTAATTGACTATTTGCATATAAATAATGATTGTCTACTTTCAATTTTCAGTTTCTGCCTTTCAATATCTTTCTCTCTAATAATGATATAAAGTATTTAACTATTTGTTTATTTGCTTTCATGAGAGATTAAAATAAGAGACCATGGATTTTATTAATTTGGATATTAACTTTTGTAATATTTTTTTATTCACATCACTCAAAGAAAACTTTGTCTACCCTCATTTTT